AAGCAAAACGCTGTGTGTGGCGGAAAACTAACACTGCACATCACCCTCAACACACCATCCCCACCATGAAACATGATGGTGGCAGCATCATGTGGGGATGTTTTTCTTCAGCAGGGACAGGGAAGCTGGTCAGAGTTGATGGGAAGATGGATGGAGCCAAATACAGGGCAATCTTAGAAGGACACCTGAGTCTGCAAAAGACTTGAGACTGGGGTGGAGGTTCACTTTCCAGCAGGACAACAACCCAGAACATACAGCCAGAGCTACAATGGAATGGTTTAGATCAAAGCATATTCATGTGTTAGAATGACCAGTAAAAGTTCAGACCTAAATCCAATTGAGAAAAACTTGAAAATTGCTGTTCACAGATGCTCTCCATCCAATATGACAGAGCTTGAGCTATTTTGGAAAGAAGAATGGGCAAAACATTCACTCTCTAGATGTGCAAAGCTGGTAAAGACTTACCCATAAAGACTTGCATCGGTAGTTGCAGTGAAAGGTGGTTCTACAAAATATTGACTCGGGGGGGCTGAATACAAATGCATGCCACACTTTTCAGACATTTATTTGTAAAACAATTTGAAAACCATTTATCATGTGCCTTCCACTTCACAATTATGTGCCACTTTGTGTTGGTCTATCACATAAAATCCCAATAAAATATTTACATTTTTGGTTGTAGCATGTCAGAATGTGAAAAATTTCAAGGGGTATGAATACTTTTTCAAGGCTCTGCATCTGCAACTGTGTGGCAATATCTATAGCAGGGGTGTCAAACTGGCGTTACCCTTGCAATGCCTAATGGGACTTGTAGTTTGGCAACAGCTGGTGTACAGCATTTATAGTAAAAAAAAAAATGTCCCAGCTTCATTTCATCACGCTTTCATTTTTGTAAATGTTTCTAGGTTTTGTTATTGCATAATTCCCAAGAATCTTAGTTAAACTAATTCTAAAGGCTCAATGCATGCATTCTGTGCATGCAAGTAAAAAAACATTTTTGTGCAGTATCCCCCAGCCCCCCTAATGCTCACCTAAGCCCCCTCTTGATCCAGTAATGTGCACTGGAGTCTTGGCTATCCCAGGATTTCCTCTTCCCATTGTATGAGACAGAGACAGGAGCCATTGGCTCCCACTGCTGTCAATCACAGCCAGTGAGCCAATGAGAAGAGAGAGAGAGGGGCTGAGCCACGGCTCCATGTGTGAATGGACACATGGAGCAGTGGGAGCGCCTGTAGCAAGCTGCTTGCTGTGGGGGCACCTGACAGGAGGGAGGGGCCAGGAGAGCCTGTGGGGGACCTGAGAAGAGGAGGATCCAAGCTGCTCTGCAAAACCACTGCACACAGCAGGTAAGTATAGGCATGTTTGTTATTTTTTCTTTAAAAAAAATATAGGCCCTTAAAATCACTTTAAGGTGCTGGATATACAAAGGAGGGAATTTACTAAAATTGGTGCACTCAGAATCTGGTGCAGCTATGCATGGTAGCCAATCATCTTTCAACTTGTTCAATTAAGCTTGGAAGTTGACTGGTTTCTTTGCAGAGCTGCACCAGATATTGGACCATGAAGCTTTAGTAAATAACCCCCAAACTGTTTATTCTGCATGGCCTTCGAGGGACAACATCTCTTTGGATCAATTCTAGATACTATTTTTCTAAGGTGCTATAACACCCATCTTCCTAAACTGAAAAAGTATTGAGCAATAGACTGCTAAGCTTCTCCCCACCAGCTGTTAAGTATTGTCTCTTTGTTTATCCACCTCTTCTTCACAACCCTCCATGACTCTGAGTCTGTCTGAAACTCAAAGTTTGCCAAATTCTCAGACAAGCATTCCTCAGCATGTAGGTGTTCTCCTACTTCCTAGAGTAGGGGGACCGCTTGAACAACTTGCATCTCCAAATCCTGGGTGCTATCCCAGAGCTATAAACTAGAGCTTCACTCCCTGCCCTCTCTCCAGTTGCTCATATAAAAGAAAATTTTACAGATTTGCAGATTTACATCAAGTTCAACTTCTTAACTGTTCCCATGCATGAAGAGGCATTCCTCCCCATCTTGGATCTCAAACTTCAGAATATCTTCAATTTAATCCAAGAATTCCACATGAAATCCACCATATCCGACATCTCCCAATTTCACCAAGTAGATTTTCTGTGGACATCAAGGATGTGTACCTGCTTGTCCCTATCTTTCCAGCACATTTAAGTTTCTTCCTTAATTTTTGTTGTAGGTTCCCTACACTACCAGTTTGCAGCTTAGCCCTTTGGCCTCTTGTCTGCTCACCAAGGTGCTAGCTCTTGTATTAGACCTGCTACACACTCATGGCATCCCTGTTGAACGCTAATTAGATGACTTCTTTGAGGAAACAGTCGGCGTGGGCTTCTGTCAGACAACATGGCCTCGACTGTCCACAAGTTGCAGTGATTCAGGAGAATCCTGAACCTTCAGAAATCATTGCTGAAATAAACTGATAGTCTCCAAGTTATCTTTATCTAGACCTGGACACAGCTCAGGTCATAGTGTTTCTTCCACAGTCTCAGATTGAACTTTCCAGGCCAGGAGTTGCTTACTCTCTACTGGTTCACAAGAGTTTTTGGCCTGATGGTATCCTCCTTTGAGACAGTTTCATTTGCCCAGTTTCACTTCAGACTTGTACAATGCAATGTTCTGTCAGCATGGGACATGTCAATCAGGCCTCAGGTCCCTGAACAGACTGATTAATTTGTAACCAAGGACCAGGTTGTCCCTGGCCTGGTGGCTCAGGAAGCTGGCTCTGGAATCAAAGAATTCCTTCCTTCCCATGTTCTAGAAGATCCTCATAACAAATGCCTGTCAGGCTGGGGAGGAGTCATGGGCTGCCTGTTGATGCAGGGGGGTTTGGTCCTTGTCTCATGTTCAACATCATGGACTTTCAGGTGATTTGACTATCTCCGCAGTGTTGGACCATCCTGCTAAAAGGTCACCTTATTCGGTTTTAGCTGGATACTGCCACAATGGTGGCATGCATAAACCATAAAAGAGAATTAAGAATTGTTGCTGTGCAAGACAGAAGTTTGGGACCTGTCTTGGGCACAACGTCTACATGTAGACAATTTGTAAGCAAACATCCTCAGATGACAGTGCCTTGACTTGGGGAAGATTTCTCAACACCTAATGGTGTTTCGGGACCTATGTTGCAGGTAGGTAAAGCCATATGTGTATCTTCTGACCTACAGAAGGATCTACAGACTGGTAAGAATTATCTAAGGTGCAGAGATCCTTTACCAGACATAGTGGATGCTCTGGTAGCTAGGTGGGATCAGTACACACTGCTCTATACCTTCCCTCCCCTAAAATTGTTTGTGTCTGCTTGCAGCATTTAGGTGTAAAGCATTTCGGGGTGCCTCATTGCTCCAGACTGGCCCAGGTGGATATGACACACCAATCTAGTAGAGTCTCCTGGTGGATGCTCAATGGGTTCATCAGATGGTCAAGATCTTTTGTCCCAAGACAGATTTCCCATCCTACTTCAAGATCACTAGATTTAATGGCATGGTTGTTGAAGCCCAGATTTGTATGTATCTCTGCATTGAATACATAGAAAGCTGCTGGGTCTGGACCAGAATTTGTCTCTCAACACTGTCAAGGGTCAGCTTTCTGCCCATCTATCTGGTTTCAGAGACTGTTGATCTATTACTTCTTGATTTAGACTTCTGTATGCTGCGTTTCCCATGTAGCTACCCCTGTTTATCTCCCATTACTATGTAGGATCTGAACCTGTTCTCTCTGCACTTCAAAAGCCACTGTGCAAACTTTCTCTGTCTACTTTCATGCACAAGTTGGTACTTCTTGTAGTCATCATCTCTAAGAGGCAAGTGTTTGAAATAGTGGCCTCTTACTGCAAGGAACCTATTTTGTTTTTGTACAGCAACAATGTAGTGTTTAGACTTAGCACATCCTTTTTGTCTGATATAGATCTGCATTTCACCTGAAACAGGATATTTTTTGTCTTGTCACTCTGTCTGGCTCCTGATTACCAAAAGGAAAATTCCCTCCATTGCCTAGATATGTTTTTGTATCTTTGGAATTGGGTACCATTCTTTCCTGTCAAAATGTGCTCTACTAGGTCTGAGAGCTTTTTGGTCTATTCAGCATCAGGCATCCTTTCACACTTTGCAAGGCTACCACCCGATTCTCTGTTTCTTCTACAGGTAGATATGTAGACCTCATTTGATGCCATATTCTGGGATCTTCTAGTGGCTATATGAGCTGCAAGCAGTCCCCAGTTTTTCATGGGTTTGTTAGACTATTTTGCCCATCCCTCTGTTGGTCTGCTTTTGGACATCCCAACAGCATAAGAATTCCTGTGACCCTCAATTCCAAAAAATATATATATTTAAGATAAAGAAAAGATATTATGGTAAATACAAAAATCCTGCCTTTTTTAACTTAAAAACGTAATGGGAGTTAGTATTGCTGCACTGAAATTGATACAACAGTCCCTTTAGGCCTCATGAACATGGGGAGTCTGTAAACGCCTCTCTAATGCCAGAACTCTTGGTAGGAAAATGCTGCTTAAAAAACATGCTATAAGCAGTGTATTGCACATTTGTTTAGGCATATCTAGCGGTTGAGGGTTAATGCATTCAAGTGGCTAGACTATTAATTTATTCTGGCTATTGGAATGCATTAACACACAATGTTAGATGCGTCTAAGGTTTATGAGCATTTAGGTGTGTTCCACATTTTTTTCTGCACTTCAGCTCCTCTCCTGAATGCACCTTTGGTGGGTTTTCTTCAGCCTGTAAATGTTGCTTTTCTATAAAAGCCTGTAAACACCTACAGTATGTGTGCATGGACACATAGGTTCACATAGAGATGTTTTCACAGACTAAAAATACATGCTCAACACCTGTAAAAATCATGTAAGAGGCATTTTTAAAGCTCTGTGTGCATAAGCCTTTGTATGGAGTGTATCTGCTGTTTTTCCTAGGTACATACAGTTACTTTGCTGGACTTTTGCATACCTCCATGTCTTCCCTCACTTGTTCCTGTTGATCTCTCAGCTCTCCAAAAGCATCAATGATCAAACCTATAGCAAAACATACCAAATATTATATGAAAAGCAGTTATACTGGAACCTTTATCAATTAATATGAATTCATGTACTGTTGGGTTTACAACTGGCCCCTGCAGAGTGTTTTCTTTTGCTGCTGTCTTGTAAGCCACAATCCTTAGCATTGTAGCTAAATTATTTAAAAGGAATAGCTCTGAAATTTAGACTATATGAAACAGCGTTTGGAGAATGTTAGTTATAGAAGCCTAGATCCCCAGATCAAATTTAGCAGCATCACTGTGCACCAGTTAACTTGACAATAGTTATATGACCAATATGCCTTGATAAATATTTTTTTCAGTTGTGTATGAACATAAGCAGAAATTTGGATTTAGGGTGGAACAATTTACTGGATAACTAAAAAGATTGTAATGCAAGCTTTTGAAGCATATCAACCTCTTCTTTAGACAATATGAACTGACAGTAAAAAACATGAATTTTATACATAAAACAACACGGATACAGATGCTATAAAGTAAACAAATGAAAGGCATTCAGTGCTAAAAAGTTTACAAAACATAGATATGGATCTATGTGAAATAGAGAAAATGTCCTGTCACACTTAGCACCTAAAGCTGGCCATACACTCATCAATTTTTAGCAGATTCATGCTGAGTCGACTGAAGTTCATTCTGTGGGTGGCTTTGTTGGCACCACCCTGCTCAACAAAAGTGGATTGTTCAATTGACTTGTTGAAGGAGCCAGGTGGAAAGTTGTTGGCCAAAAAAAAGTGGCTGCATCCAGTCAGATGCCAGCACTGTTAATGTATTCTAACAGCCGACAGCACCAGCTGTCAGAATACAATAGCCTGCAGCAGTAGACTCATCTATCCATACCATTTAGAGTGAATGAAGGAATCTGTTAGATTTCTTTCATCCTGTATAAAGCAGATTTAGTAGAGATGGTGTGAATCTTTGTAAAGCCCCTTTGATGTGGAGATGTGTCTGGGATGATAGTCCACAGATCATCATAGTGGCACATACATTTTCACACACAACAATATAATCAGTAACCTCAACTACATCACAAAGAGACAGCAGAGATGGCTGCTCTGGTTGGGACTTGATCCTGACTCCAGGAACTGTCCTTTGTCCTGCTACCCTCCAAACTCAGCCTGCGAGTGTCTATACTCTATGTGAGAATGGCCACCCCTCACTGTACAGACAGGCAGGCAGTATACACACAGAAGCAGTCTCTGTACACCAACATAGCATTTTACCTTCAGTCTCTCTTATTGCAGCTACAGCGACTAGTGTCTATAAGAACTACCTGAAACTGTTGTACAAATCAGCAATCTTAAAGTCTAACTCCATGTTTACTGTGCCCTTAAATAGTTCATCTGGTCCAAAACAAACTATTTTCTTCACTAACAAGTTACACCAACTTTCTGGCTGCACTGTATAAACTGTATTTAGCATCAGCTATGCAGTATACAGCACTGTGCTCCGCCACTGGGATGGAGGCTTCTATGAATGAATACAAACCTTTCATTGATTGGCTGAGGTGGAAGTTGTGATGTTGTCTGCCTGTCTCAGTCAAGCAGAGTATTCCTAGAATACAAGGCTACCTGTAAAACTTGATTTTGTTCTGGGAGCGGGATGGGAAGAATCCCATCCAACTACTGGATCACAGTGCTGTATACTGTGCAGTATGTAGATGAAGCTACATACAGTTTATACAGTGCTCCTGAAAAGTGCCCCTTGATCATTTGTTCCAGCTTGGACCAAACTAACTATTTAAAGGCACAGTAAACTAAGGCTTCAACAGAATTGTCACAATGGTTTCCTGAATCAGGCACAGGGCTTTTTAAAGGCTTCACAAGAAAAGTGCCTCAAATGCTGTACTGAATAACACTCCCTGATTCTTACATAAACTAAACGTTTTAGCATCTAATGCCACTTGCCTGTTGTTTCATGTATAACATGAATGTTAATTAATTTCAGTTCATATTGTGTAAAGAAGAGGCTGATGTGCTTTGAAGGCTTGAACTGCAATCTATTTAGTTTGCCAACAAATAGTACCACCCTAAATCCAAGCGATTATTTTTGTCGATAGCTACCATGGTACCACACTCTGTTTATGGGTACACGGAGCATTTATTAACATATACATTTATTATCTTCCTGATCATGTTTTTATAAACTGACAAAGGTGTTTAAATAGTATGTTTTGGTTATTTTTACATTAAACAAATTTTAGTCACAGTTTATGCAGTTATGTATTTTTTCAAATCATTACATGCATTTTTAAATGCAACCAATACAAGTAACATAAATTTTACAAAGTATTATCCTCCTGTTATCATCTACACAACAGCAATGAGGGGCAGCACGAGGAACCAACCAGGTGTGATATATTACACAATGTGCTGACAAAGAACATGTTGACTAGAGGAGAGACCAGACAGATTAACTTCTCAGCCCGCTGCATTTTCTTCAATGTCTATGAGGCTGGAGGGGCTGAGTTCCTTAACTGGAGAAGAGGTCACAATTCTGGCTGTGTTGTCTAGAAGGAATGTGCAAAGCTGACCATACATGGGTCAGTTTTTTTACTCAGCCTGCAGGTTGAAAGAATAAAACTGACCCAATTCCCCTACCCACACATTCAATGTGGATCTGGGAATCCTGTGACATTGTATTCTGACAGTGGGCCTCCCCCACTGTCCGAGTACACTGTTCAGTGCTGCAGCCAATTAGCTGCAAGCAGTGATTGAATTGAAACTTTCCAGCAGGACTACTTATGAAAAGTGAATCAAAAGTCGAACAGGAGCTGGCAAAAATGGATTGAAATTTGGCCGGTTCAGCAGGAACTGGCCGAATTTCAATCCATGTATGGCCAGCTGAAATCTCCGTTCTGGAAGGAAAGAATTACAAATTCTTTGGTAGGTAAAACAGTTCCCATGTATGCATTTCATCTGTGTATCTAGCGGTGTACATGGAATTCAGTTTTAAACCAATTTAATTACATTATTTTATACACAATTCACAACAGTGACAGCTATGCCTCTCCCTCTGTGCACAGTAAGTACAGAAAAAGAGAGGGCTGGTTTTTAACCACCTTCCGCCCGCCATATAGTACAATGACGGGCGCAAGGTGGTTCTCTTGTTCTGATATGACGTCCTTACATTCTCAGCGCGCATGCGCGGCTCAGGGAGCATGCAGCGCGGCGATCGCCGGTGCGCTGTGTCCCTCGGACACAGCGGATCATGGAAAGAGCCGAAGATGTCGGCTCGGTCATGTGAGCAGCTGTGTCCAATCACAGCTGATCACATGTAAACACGGAAATGCCGGTTATCGGCATTTCTCTCCTCTCAAGCTGTCTTGCTGACAGCTCGAGAGGTGAGGAGAGCCGGTAATCGGCTTTCCATGGAGGGGACATGTACACTGATCATCAGGGCACTGATGATCAGTGTGCCTTGATGATCAGTATGGCCCCAGAAGTGCCACGTGTCAGTGTCCATCAGTGCCAGCTGTCAGTGCTAATCAGTGCCACGTGACAGTGCCCATCAGTGCCACATATCAGTGCATACCAGTGCACATCAATGCCACATATCAGTGCCCATCTGAGCTGCCTTTCAGTGTCACCCGTCAGTGCCACCTATCAATGCCAATCAGTGCTGCCAATGAGTGCCAGTCAGTGTCGCCTATCAGTGCCAGTCAGTGTCGCCTATCAGTGCCAGTCAGTGTCGCCTATCAGTGCCAGTCAGTGTCGCCTATCAGTGCCAGTCAGTGCCGCCTATCAGTGCCATATATCAGTGTCATGTATCAGTGCTGTCTTTCAGTGCCCATCAGTGATGTCTGTCAATGCCCATCAGTGCAACCTACCAGTGCCTCCTCATCAGTGTCACCTATCAGTGTCCATCACTGCAGCCTCATTAGTGCACATCAGTGAAGGAGAAAAATCACTTATTTACAAAATTGTATAACAAAAACTAAGAAAAAACTTTTTTAAAAAAATATTTCAGTGGTTTTTGGTTTGTTTAAGAAAAAATGTCTTTTTGGCATCGATAGGTGGCACTGACTGACCACCAAAAGAAAGCTCTGTCTCAAAAAAAAAAAATGATAAAAATTTCATATGGGTACAGTGTTGCATGACCGCGCAATTGTCATTCAAAGTGTGACAGCGCTAAAAAGCTGGAAATTGGCCTGGGCAGAAAGGGGGTATAAGTGCCCTGTAGGCTAGTGGTTAAACAAATCTCATGTGGCCACAATGATTGGTTTCTGAATGTTAAGGTGAAACCTGTGGCTAAAAGGGTAAGCACAGTTTCAGAACAGAGGTATGCAATAGAAACGTACTGGATTTTCATATTGGTCACTTTGTCCCCAGGTGGTCTGAATGAGGAATTAGATGTTAACACTATTCTCTAACACATTTTACTCCGCCTTATCTCATCATTTTAATTTTTAACCAATTTTTTTACATTTATTTATTTATTTCAGGTACTTATATAGCGCCGTCAATTTACGCAGCGCTTTACACACACACACACACACATATATATATATATATATATATATATATATATATATATATATATATATATATATATATATATTTTGTACATTCACATCAGTCCCTAACCCTCAAGGGGCGTACAATCTAAGGTCCCTAACTCACATTCATACATACATATACAAGGGCCAATTTAGACGGGATCCAATTAACCTACCAGCATGTCTTTGGCACGTGGGAGAAACCGGAGTACCCAGAGGAAACCCATGCAGCCACAGGGAGAACATGCAAACTCCAGGCAGGTGGTGCCGTGGCTGGGATTTGAACCAACGACCCTAGTACTGCCAGGCAGAAGTGCTAACCATTGATTTTTTTTCAATTTTTTCTGACAAGTATTCGCAACATATTCTATTTTATTTATTCATTAATTTATTCCATTATTTTTTAATCTTCAATTTAAATTTTTTTCCCATCCTTTTTCCCATATTATGTTTTTTCCATATTCATGCGTTTATTTCCATACATCATGCATTTATTTACTAAATTTAATTTTAATATTTTTTTCCATTTTCTATTATTATACTCATTTATATACTTTATTCATATCCATTATGGCACCCCAGGGAGGATTATGCATAGTTTTTTATGTTTGTGTTTTTTTAATTGCTTTTTATCTATCTAATTTTTTCATATTTTTATTCATTATTTTATTCTTATCCCCCCTTTTTTATATCATTTTAATTCTTCCCCCATTACCTGTATCATGGTAATGTTTGTCATTTGTTTCCCCTTTTTTTTCCCTATTATTGTAATTTTCCCCTGCTACTGTGTTGTCTTCCCCTACTTATGCTTTTAATTGTAAGACCCACATGTTCCTCATCACTAACCCACATGTTTCCAATTATACTAATTGTTGTTCCCGAATTGTTGATTGCCAATTAAGGCACATTAGCCATTATAAAAGGAACGGCCCTTCTGCCATGTCATTCCCCTGCTTGAGAAAAGGAGCGCGCTTCCACCATTAGAAGTCAGCGCATGCTCCGAAACGCGTCACATTGCATCGTGGTCACCGATGACATCACGCCTACACCGACGTTGCGGTTCAGCGTGCGTTCCAGCCGCCATCTTTAGAAGTACGTGCATGCTGGCTGGCTAGCTCCACATCTGTCTCCCTCTTGAACCACGCTCCCTACCACTGAGATGTGGATGATGCAGGCACCAGTGACAGCCGTTCCACATGGTGTTTCTATACCACAATACCCTACATGCTTTTATTACTCTACTACCATGTGAGTGTTCCTACTTTTTATTATATATTAAAGTGGTCTGCTGCACTTAGAGGCGCTTCTTCCTCTCTCCTTCAGAACCGAGAACCGGTGTGTGCTGCTATTTTTAACATGGAACACAGATTATCCTTCTTTTAGCCTGAAATTTTAAAACATGACTGTCCAACGTCTCTTTCAGCTAGTAATGCCATATATTCTAAGAAGCCACAATGTATTACATTTTAAAAATGGTGTAATGGCTTATACGTCTGCAGATAAAGTTAGTTTGTAAGCAACTCCCTCACTACTTGTGGCTGGAGGGCGGTCAGAACATCAGAAGTTGGCAGTGTTCTAAATAATTTAACAAAGTTAAGCTGGCCATAGATGGATCAAAAATGGTTCAGCAGGAACTGGCCAAGATTTGATCCATCTATGGGTAGGCTGGTTTCATTTCATTGATCAACTTGGGTACAACTAACCTCTCAGTTTTTTTTTACAAGCAGTTACTGCCAGCGGCTATAGCCGCTAGCGCAGGGCTTGAAAATTCCACTCGCCAAATGGGAGGGGTAATTCCTTTCTGGCGAGCACAGTAATGCCCTGCACATTTATTGATGGAGCGGGTGGCTTGCAACACGATCCCCAGGCTTGGGGATCCACTTGCGCTCCAAGCCTTGTTTTGAAGCTGACTTTAATTTGGGGGACGGGCCTGGGGTGGGGATGGAGGCGGCCCTGGGTAAGGTTTGGTGGGGCAACTGGTGAAGAGTAAGGTTTTTGCCTGGCTAGTAGGTCTAGACTTGAAATTTTAAGCCCTGCGCTAGCGATCATTATTGTGTTCTTCCAGCCAGGTAGGCTCCCCAATGGCAGAACACAATAGTGCTGCGGGAGGGATTCCCCCATCAATACTGACTATGTTGATGGGGGAATTTAGCGATTTCCTTTCCTTAAACCTGTGGTGGAAGGAAAGAAAATCACATAATCTTTGGGCTGCTTTATTCACCTTGAATAATGGCCAGAAGTATGACGATAACAAAGAAGAAGAAGGTGATGTCAAACACAATACGATACATCTCGTAAGGGTCACCGGCAGGGTCCTCAATCTCATCTCCAATTCCACCTCCAGCTCTCACTCCCACATACATGTGGAACAGATAACACTGTAAAGCAAGAATAAAGCACAGTTGATCTGGTCAGCAAAACCAAGCAATGTGTCAGAATCATGTAGTACACTTATGGAAGTTGCAAACTACAATTACTGTCCCAGGTTCCAAACAAGGCAGGACGGGTTCTTAGAAGGGTGATGGAGGCATAGGCCTCACATGACCAATAAAGCTGGTACCATTACATTTTTAATACATAAAATAAAATACATAATATGGCAATTACAATGCTAATCATTATTTCATCAATAAAAGCACACAATATGGATACATAACAGACTAAAACAAGTAACCATCACTCTTTATGTATTTGTGGATGTAGACAGAGCTCTCCCCTTTGCCCTGCTGTCACAACATGTTCTCAATCTGGATGTTTGGCCCCAATGAAATTATATTCTAAGCCAAACTAAGTGAACATTTTGTGGGACAGCTGAACATGTCTATAATTCCAAGTAATTAAATGGTTTTCATACAACCAGAGAAAAGTGTATGATATCTGATTGGTTGCATGGTTATGGGATAGTCCATTGCAGATTTAGATATGTGGATAAATACTGGAGTTTAAGGAAGACAACTGTTGCTTATAACTGATTCTAGCCATCACGGTTTTGCCACAAGTTAGAAGATCTAAGTAATTGTTAAGATGTGATTAGTGGTATAACACAGGCATGTTCTTTTTATCCAGTTGTAATACATAAGCCATGTTATTAAAGTCTATAGTGTTCACTATGTGCCAGGCTAGGAGATTTCTACCCTACCTAACATTGGACATGGGTCTTTGAAGGAGTACTAATATTGTGCTACCTCTATCCAATTATATTTATTTTTGCATATGTTGTTTGGGACATACCGTCATCATGTCATCACATTTCATATCAGGGTCATCTTCATCTTCACTTTTGTTATAAAATTTTCGGAAGAAGTTGAAGGCCACAACAGTATAGAGATAAACAACTACAGCCAGAAGACCGACTGTGAGCACCAGCTGGGGAAACATATGACATTAACCATAAACCAGATCTAATTCTACATTTCAAAAACACAAACATTTGTACACATGGAATTAAGAACACACATTATGAACACAGTGGACCTACCTACACAGTAAAACCTCTTTGTAACCACCAATCAGATTGAAAATTCCAGACAATGGATGACAGAATTTGCAAATCTGAAAGTGACTTGCTTTGGGCAACACAGGAACTAAACAATACCCTTTTCCAAATGATATGTTAGTTGGTAAGAACAATTTTAAAGACAGAATGGTTGATAAAATATAATGCTGAACAATTTTGTGCCCAGGCTGTGTTAATGGACCTTCATCTTATACAGCTGTAGAAAAGAGTGCTGGAGAAGAGCACTGAGTAAATGAATGAACTGTAAGCTATGCAACATCATTTATTATACCAAGTAGCAGCTGTGAAACTGCAATAGTATTATAGTAGCATCCCTGTATAAATCCTCACACTCAGTCTTCTATGTTTGATCTGTGTGATCTTGAAATTATCTTACAACTATACAGCCTGAATTCTCCCTCAGTATCTGAAACACGAGTCTGAACTGTGAAATCTGGTTAAAGACTGCAGGAGATTGGATGCAACTTTAGGAGTCATTCAGTCCACTTTTTTTTAACACTTTAGCAAGGAGAGTAGTTCCTTTTGCTACACGTCTGATTTGAAATTTTAGCAAGTCTGCCTAGATTTCCAAAGCAAATACTTTCAGAAAACATTCCGTACTGTTGTAAAATCTTGGAAAATGACCGTGCCATTAAAATTTGTACTATGAGGAGAAAAGTACCACACTACATGAATACACAGCTGTAAAGTCCATCAGCAGGGATACATTTTATAAGCTCATCTCAGAATTCATATCTATTAAAGGTGGTCTGTACTGTCATATTCCCTGGGGTTTATAGAAGAAGAAATAGGACAACTGTGGCATGTGCTTGATGCTCTATTTTGTAAAGCGTGCATCCAAAGGTGATGGGATTTGAAGTCTATTTGTTGATGTATATTTTCCAAAATAATGTCTATATCTTAAAGCAGGCACCTGTTAACTTGCATTTGCCCGCCAGAGGATTTACCTCCCTTCCTGGCCAGGCCATTTTTTGCGACACAGCACTGCGTTACTTTAACTGACTATTGCGCAGTCATGCAACTCTGCACCCAAATTAAATTTGCGTCCTTTTTTTTCCCCACAAATTGAGCTTTCTTTTTGTGGTATTTGATCGACTGTGCGGTTTATTATTTTTTGCACTATAAACAAAAAAGACCTACAATTTAAATTTTTGAGATATATATATATATATATATATATATAAATAATACAGTGATCAGGGCTAATAAAAAGCACTGACACTGTACTAATGGCACTGGGCAGGAAGGAGTTAACATGGGGGGCGATCAAAGGATTAGCGGTATGCTGTTTTATTATGTAGGCTGTGTGTGTGTTTTACAAGCACAGGCGCGCGTGCCCCCTACATGGAAATGAAAAACGTATATAGTGTTTCTGCTATAGGGCAGCACGGAAGCAGTTAAAGGGTGGGTTGTATAAAAGCAAACTATTCCTTCAGCAACAATCCTTAACATTTTAGTCTTTTCCTATTCTTACCTCTATTTATAGCATTGAGGTGGAGTTTATACATACAAATTACTAGGCCAAAACATGCTAAAGAAGCAGACTTTTATAGTGCAGAATGGCCAAAACACATCTAGAAAAGAATTTCCAAGTTGAATCCATGGTATCTCAAATGTGTATTAAATCAAGAGTGAATTTAAATCAAAAAGTTCCTTCTTAGAAAATGAAGTTACATTTTCATGAGCTTTAGAAATACCCGGAATTAGCAGGCACAATTATTTCAAAAAAAAAAAAAATAAATAATGCACTCAAACCTGTACGCACGCTCACCACGCAAGACTCAATTGCTGAAGAAAAATCATGGTGAAGCTTGTTTAGTTTGCTGCACAACATTTAGACAAGCCTGGGAAATACTGGGAGAATATAGTCTGGCCAGATGAGAGCAAAATTGGACTCTTTGGATGCCATAATACACACCATGCACGGAGGTCAAATGGCACTGCACATCACCCCAAAACATCATACCAACAGTGAAGTTTGGAGGTGAGAACATCATGGTGTGGAGCCGTTTTTTTCACCATACGGAACTGGCAAACATCATATCATATCATTGAAGGAAGGATGAATGGAAAAATGTACCAAGACATTCTTGATAAAAATCTGCTGCCATCCACCAGGATGATGAAGATGAAATGAGGGGACATTTCACCAAGACAATGATCCCAAACATAAAGCCAAGGAAACTCTCAATTGGTTTCAAAGAAAGAAAATAAAGCTGCTAGAATGGCCCAACCATCCAATCACCTGACTTGAATCCAATAGAAAATCTATGGAAAGAATTAAAGATCAGAGTTCATAGAAGAGGAACCTTCAAGATTTGAAGGCGGTTTGTGTGGAAGAATGGGCCAAACTCACACCTGAGCAATGTATACGACTAGTTTCTCCATACAGGAGGCGATTTGAAGCTGTCATTACCAACAAAAGATTTTGTACGAAGTGTTAAAATAAATTTCAGTTAGCCTGTTCAATACTTTTCCCTTTCATTCCATTTTATTACACGTAAATTAATCTCTGAACGTATTTGTTTTGGTTTCTTTGTATGTAAGGATTCCATGGGTTGTTACTGACATGTGGTGACATGTCAAGAGCACCTTTAGAAATATATTTACTGAGAAAAATCGTGACGTGTTCAATCCCTATTTTACCTGCTGTACCAGAAACCCCGGAGATAACATAGAACACAGCCATATTGGGATGAAATGTTCCTGACTATGATTAGCCTTCATTTAGATGATGTCACTAACTTAACTTAACCTGAGTAGCCTGCCACTTTCAGTTTGAAAGCAGATAACTGTAGGGGGATGACCATAAAACAAGCAAAAAATGCACAGAAGTCGAGAACCCCAAGATTCTGGAGATACATTCTCCATATATACAGTATATACAAATTATTTATACATTAGTTCATCAAAAATATTAACATGATCAGGGTTGTTTCTAAAATTATTATTTTTTTCTTAGTAAGGTAAATATGAAATATTTTACATGAATATTATGCCTGTTTTGAGTCAGCAGGTTGATTTGTATGCCCCTTTTTACATATGTATAACTACTGAAAAAATAATTTTGTTTACAAACTCCTTACTCACTTTACATATAACTGAATGGCATACAGTGGTGACTGATTCTATGTTGTACAGGGTTTAGGGTCTAGGGTTTGAGTCACAAAGGAAGTCACAAGGCAAGCAAGTACTGCTGTGTACTATGGAGTGCTCTGAAAAACCTTTGTCATGCAGTAAATGTTTGTTTGTAAAACAAAGACAGTATATATACAAAAAAAAGATTCAATAGAATTGTTTGAAAAGGTGTAACACCTTTAAAAAAACAACTAAAATCTGTTTGATCCAGAACCATTAGAGTCTCCTTTTAAAAGGAGGCAGTCCAGGAATTTCTATAATTTCTGTATTTGGTCATCCAGATGTTAACTTTTTATTATTACCATTGTTAAAAAAATCTTCATAACTTTTAGGCCAAGATCACAACTGTGCAATGCATTATCGTGTGTTGTGCTAAACTTTGAGTACAAGTAACAAATTTAACATAAAACTATTTTTCTAAAAACATAAACCTGATAAGGAGGACAATTGTCACTTAATTCTGAAGGAAGGGTTCTGCAGGGTTTTTCATGCGACCAGTAAAAATGAATAGTGCATGCTGTGAGTGTTTAAAGCAGCTGCTTGGCCTTTTCATAATTCATGAGAAAACTACAACAAACATCAGCCACTAAAAGCCAATAGAAAGGGGATAGGCAGAAAGGAGTTTGTAGAAGAGCAGGTAACATTTAGAGATGGAAACTAAATGTTATCTGCTAACAGAGCAAGCAATGATATTACAGAGAAGTGGAGTTGTACATTAGTTTCCTTGATAAACTTTTTCTTACAAAAGTGCATGACCCAACTATAAGTACTAGTACAGAAGTGGCAAGAATTACTATCTAATCTAGTGCTAATATCAGATATTATGGTTTATGAACAGCTTCCATGGTTTTTATGACTATCCATTTACAAAGGCTCCACATATCTCAGCTATTCATGTAGGATGGATGGCTAAGTGTACTACACCAAAGGTTGAACTGTGAAATGAGCAGCACTTAATTCAGCAGTCTGCAGCTAGGCAAGACTCTTTCTGGCATAAGTAATGTGAACATATTAGTGGATTCAGTGAGTCATAGACCATACATGCTGCTGCTAGAGAAACCAGGCCATGCTAAAGTGTAAAGCCTTCATCTTTTTTTTAATCTTGGTGCTTATTTTAGAAAAATTGCAATCAAATGGTAATCTGTGTCATGTATAAGATTAATTGCTATAATCAGATTTATTAGAAATGTAAGAACATTTAGACAGGTTTACCTGTTTTCCATTGTGGGTTACTGAGGAGAGAATAGTTCTTAGGGTCTTGAAGCCCATTGCAATGTCCAGGAGATGAGCTGCAAAGAAGAAGTTGTTGTAGTGTCCAAGTATTGACATGGTTGTGTACCAGGCAAGGTAAAGGAATGACTGCAAATAAAACAGTGAAAACATTTATAAATGACAACACAGCCCAGTTATACCTTCGCTACATAAATGGCATCTTCAACAACAAAGTTATCTATATGAAGACGGATACTTACATTGTCAGTAAAAACCACTCCAAGCTTCCAAATGTGGTACTTCATGTCAATTGAACTCAGCCTACCAAAAAAAAAATTTGCATTAATTGTTGTATTATTTTTTTATGTGTGTACATTTTTGTACAAGAATCTATTGCAGTGTTCTGTATTTTGGTTGCTTTTTTATATTTCGCTCCTATTAATGCTTTTTTGTTTCGCACAGTGGAATAAAATGTGTGTGTTCTGAAATGAATGAGTTAAAGCAGAACTTTAGTTTATTCTGGCATAAATGCTTTTTCCTTGCTAGCATTTCTAATTGTACACTGAGCCATACACGTGCAGCCTGGTGCTTAGTGCACAGTTGAAAAAGGCTGGATTATACAAAATATAAAGTTTCAAACATTTTTGCAAAAAGTGAATCAAGTCAATATATTATTTTAATGTAACTAAAGAAAGAAACTAACACAGTAATAAACTATTATCCAGTACAAAAAATATATATATTTTGTAGGCATATAGCCCTGTTATATAACAACTGGCAGCATTGGTTGTTAGAAAACAATAGCCCAGCAGGGCAGATTCATCTATCCTTGGTTTGATGGAGGAATTTGGTAATTTTCTTTTGTTTGGCCTGCAGCCTGAATAAAAGGATTCTACACATGTATGGCCAGCTTGAGTTGAACCAAAATGAATAAATGAAACAGAAACAGTGTAGAGGGAATAACACTTGGCATGGTAGAAATATACCACAAAGTGAGATTGCAATAGAAAAAAATGACACCATACCAACTGTGAGCATAGTGACAAGACACAAGGTGGACCTACTGCCTCATCAAGGTCTCTTCCAAGCATAATTTTCCAAGCAGACAATTGTTTCCATGTGTGCTGCCTAACCACTTCTGTACAAACAGGCAATAGTTGAGACCCACATAAACTGAGTGCAGCTAATGAGAAAAAAATCAAGTCCACTTCCTATGAAATCAGATGTCCAGCACCACAATCAACTCAGAACTGGCAGAATCCACTGAAATGTAATGGAGTTTCCTTGCAGGTTTAGGGATGCATTTCGTAAAAATGGGGTTTGTGATCTTGACAAATCTTAAAAATAAGTAATTATTTTTCTTCAGTGCAGTAAAGGAGGCTGACTCCTATCAGTCCAAAATTCATTATGCAGCATGACAATAATCCCAAACATAGCCCAAATTATAAAACAGTATCTGCTACAAATAGTATGCCCACAGAGTTCTAATCTCAACAACCCTCAGGCAATTACTTGCAGAGAGAAACAACTAAGGCTTGGTTCACCCTAGTGCGATTTCAGGTGCACCTTGAATCACACAGAATTGCACGACAATGGAAATCACATCGTTTTCAATGGTGTCCATTAACATGAATTCAACACAGCATGGTGTGATTTTGGAAAGGGTGCAACTGTAGTGTAATTCCAGTGCGATTCTGGCCCCACAGAATATGAAAACCAAATCCAAAATGCAACCAAGTAACACTACATAATCGCAATGAAAATCAGATCAAATTGCATCTGCACTAGTGTGAACCTAGTCTACCATAGCCAAGTCTGCAGCAGAACTGTGGCAAAATCTCCAATAGGATTGGAACAACCAACCATGTGATTACCTCCAGAAACTGTATGCATGTGTACATCTAAAACTGCTGCTTCTTAAAGGAAAAGAGTGGTTACACCAAATAATTTTTTTTTTCTTTTTATTTCCCTTTTATGCCGATTAAATAAAAACTATTAATTGCATTATTTGGTGAAGCATTTCCACTTTAAAACATGCCTAAGAATAATGTACTGTATACAGCTTAGGTTTGTGGCATAAATACATACAATTCTAAGATAACTCAGTTTTAAATGTTAGTGCTTAGGATCCTTTCTTACATGCATTCCTAATTATGAATTACTCTTGGTCTGTATGAACATTCTGATCACTGCGGGGAGACAAAAAAATAAAAGACACTTTAACAGATGAAAAGTTCACTTATAAATGATATGGAGATTTCTTTCTAGAATGTCACCTCAAGGTCAGCATTATGCAAAGTGTTTAAATGTGCCTGATCCCAAGGCTAATGACTATATGGAAATGAGAAGTACATGTACATAGTAAGTTGCATTGGCAATGACAGGAGCCGATATGTGTAAAAAGAGCGATGCTGACTTTCTCCACTGCAATGAACTTATGAGCAATAAACATTTGCTTGGCAAAGTAGGAACACTATCTATGTGCAACATTCAGCACTCATGTTCACAGTATTTTACTGATTATAGCAGGCACTTATAATAATTAAAAGAAACAAATATTTTTTATACACACCATGATACAAGTGATCCCTCCTCTATTTTGGTCTTTTCTACAGGGCTGAAATCAAGAGCATTCTTATCCAATCCAAGGAGTTCGGCAATTCTATCTGCTCCATATAAGTCTCCGTATTTGTTAATTACCTTAGCAAAGAAAACAGTTTCACAAACATTAAATTCCACAACAAGGATATATTTTCTAACAAACTGCCAGCAGAGACATTTATTAGGAGAAGCTTGCTGGTAGGTGAATTGGATCCTGTAAAAATTGGCCCTAGTATGTGTATGTATGAATGTAAGTTAGGGAACTTAGATTATACATCCCTCGTGGCTGGGTTCACACTGATACGGTGCGGAATGCGCAGCGTTTTCTGTGCAAATTCTGCACCGCATCAGAATCACATCCCATTCATGCGAACCGCTGTGGGTGTGTATGTTAACTTAACAACACCCTTGAATCGGTCCGCAAAACGTGGTGCGATGTGCAGAATCGGATCGCATAGGTGTGAATACCCATGCAATCTGATTCTAGTGCGGACCCAAAAAAAGAGTCCTGCTCCTTTTTGGTGCTGGTGTGGTGCGATTGGAGCCATACAAAATGTATGGCTCCAATTGCACCGCACACAAATAGCATGTGATTTGCACAGTAATGTGGTGCACTGCATATATGTGAACCCAGCCTGAGGATTAGGGACTGATGTGAGTGTACAATATATATGTAAAGCACTGCGTAAATTGATGGTGCTATATAAGTACCTGAAATAAATAATTAAAAAATAAATGAAGTGCAGCTAGCTGCAGTGTTAGGGACTGTTATAGACAGCACATGTTACATTTATGAGCAAGGCAGTGAAAGACAACAGACTCCTCACCTTTACCAGTTTACGCCCTGATTATCTAGAGATGCTCACAGCTCTTCAATAGGTAAACTGATCTAATCTGAATATTTCAGACCTAAACCTAGCCATAGATGGATCACAGTTTAACCGTTTAGGGGCCAACCAAATTTCGATCCATCTATGGCTGTTCAAGTTCTAGTGATCAACTCCTCTCGAACAGGACTGTTGGAAATTTTGTGTTTGATGTATTCTGGCAGAGGAGGAGTCCTGTTGTCAGTATATATAAGAGTACAGCAGGCAGGAGTCCCACATCCAGCTAAAATGTGAGGATGGGGAAATCTGTTTTTTTTTTTTGATCAGCCAGTTGGCTAATCAAAAAAACCATTTATGGTGAGCTTTAGGTCAAGGCAACAGTATCAAATCCAAAACATCAGTACTGTCTGGAGAGATGTTAACCACTTAGGCATTATGCTTCCTTCTAAATGACATTGTATGAAATGTGGTGGAAGGAACACTTTTATTGCCTTTATTCATGGATCTCCACAGTAGGTTTTGAGTTTGTATTGGTTGTATTGGGTATTTACATAAGACACATTTCTATGGCCTTGTGAAGCTATCCTCACTGCTTACTGAAGTAACAGATTTGTTTGCTGTTTACAGTGATAAGCAATGCACTCATAATACTTTTATAAGCACACTGAAGGACAAAGAAAATGCAAGGCAACTTCTAACAAGTATGTTGCTAAAAGTTGCCATGGGCTAAGAATATAAACTATGATCACACAATTATTTCTGAACATCTGTCCCATGTGGCAAAGAGCCACTTATTTACTATAATTTCATGTGTGCTAGAAGAAATATAGATTGTTTATTGCAATGACAAAAAAGACAAAACAATTAAAATGCAATACATCTCAGTCAACAGTGCAGAGTTGAAGCTCTAAGTGAGATAAAAGCTTATTAACGATGTTGCTATGCATTATTAGCTTAAAACACGCCACATGGAAAAGACTCCAGGGATTTACTGAAGAGCTGTTAGAATAAAACTGACACTATGTTACCTCAATATAATTTTGAAGTACTCCAGTAAAAGGGAAGAATTAAATATTTTTTGCTAGTGCAGAACAGATATTTTAAATGCTGACATTCATTTCATTTGCACAGAAAAGGCATTCATTTACATGTAGCTTTACAGTACAAACAGTTCATAAGTGGATGCATATTATGAGAAGTTTATCAAATCTATTCATCTTAAAACACAGTATTAATATCTGTATTAGACTGTTCTGTTTGGACATATACTCTAGATCACTGGGCTGAAATTAAGCACAATGTTATTTATTTTAAATAATACTGGAAAATATATTTCTTTCAATAGATTTCCTATGCTTCTTCCCAAGATGTCTCTTACAACTGTCATCTCTATAGTGTTGCAAGCTAAAGTATGCTGCTAACATTAGTAAATGGATCAGAAAGTATATTAAATTTACTTGTTTTAAAGGTTTTTTTTATGTTTCTATAGTTAGTTCCTGGTTTCAATGGCTAGGCAAATGATGTCATACATCCCAGGAGTCTTCAGGAGGGGAGAAGGGGCTCTATCAGTTAAGCACACCCTCCTGCCTGCATGCCTGAGCTAAGGGTAGATGGATTCCAGATTTCAGAATGTAAATTAATATGTCTTCACTTAAGATGTTCATGGCCTGGAATGCTAGAGGGGTGTTTTTCAAGGTAACATCTCAGCAAAATAAAAGCATTGCGACGTAGATGGATGGGGAAGTTTGCTTTGAATATTAAAAATGAATTAAATAGTGTTTTATCCACACATACATTTCTAATGAAGAGAGGACTTTGGTCAAATGCATAGGGGAAAAGGATGTCTAGGAACTGCTTGAGATTCCTTGGCTAGATAG